GGTGGAGGGGGTGGGGGCGGGGGGGCAGCAGGTGCTGGTGGGGGAGGTGGGGCTGGAGCCAGAGCCGGAGCATCTGCAAGGGAAAGAAGAGGTGGGTGAGACGGTGACACAGCAGGGCACGGTGCCACCACCACGCTCCCTCTGCCACCGCATTACCCCGAGTTCCCGGGCACATCCCCACAGCCCCGCCTCAGTTTCTGTGCCCCGAGGCTCTCTGCCAGCCCTCCTTGGTGCCAGGTGTCCCCGCCGGGAAGGGGACATCCCCCTGCACCCACGGTACCTGTGCGGGTGGTGTCGGTGGTGGCAGTGGCCTCTCCAGAAACCACGGGGGCTGCGGGGGTTTCTATGACAACGGGGACAATTTCGATGGCGACGTCTCCGTCGGGCCCACGCAGGATCTGCACCAGCCCCTTCTCCTCGAGCTCCGCCAGCCGCCGCTCCAGCGCCAGCCGGTAACACTCCTGGGGCTGCGGGGACGGTGGGCTGGGCGGCCGCGGGGGGCTCAGCTGCTCCTGGAGAGGTGACAACCCCCGGCAGGTCACCGGCGTCCCACCGCACCCCTCAGAGCCCGGTCCCTCAGCCCCAGCCTCGCCTCAGCACCCCCGGCTCACCCGCAGCGCCTCCAGCTCCCGCCGCGCCTGGCTCAGCTGCTTCTCCAGCTCCGCTATCTTGGCCATGGAGTCGTTCTCCGCATCCTGCAGCTTCTCCGTCAACTGTGGGGGACGAGGCGCCGCCGCTCAGCCCCGTCCTCATCCCTCCCTCGGGCTTTGCGTCAGTGGCTCTGCCCACGCGCCCACGGCCCACCTGGCTGACGTGCTCCTGCAGCTCCTCCATGTGCTCCAGCACCGCCGTCTTGGTCTCCGAGTCCTCCAGCATGGCCCCCACATCGAAGACGTTGTCCAGGTAGGCTTGGATCTGCACCTGCAGCTTGTCGCTCTCAGTGAGGCGCAGAGTCTGCCGAGGGACAGCCGGCGTCACTGGCAGCGCCGACGGCACCCCCGGCAGCCCCACCCTCGGGATCACCCACCTCCAGGTACTGGTCCAGCCCCAGGTGGGTGAACTCGTACTGCAGGAACACGCGGAAGTTCATGTTCTCCACCGAGTGCACCACGATGTTGATGAACTGCATGCAGGCCACCTGCAGGGACACGGCCCAGGACACGGCCCAGGACATGGCTCAGGACATGGCTCAGGACATGGCTCAGGACACGGCTCAGGACACAGCTCAGGACACAGCTCAGGACATGGCTCAGGACACAGCCCAGGACACAGCTCAGGACACAGCCCAGGACACAGCTCAGGACACAGCTCAGGACACAGCTCAGGACACGGCTCAGGACACAGCTCAGGACACAGCTCAGGACACAGCTCAGGACACGGCTCAGGACACAGCTCAGGACATGGCTCAGGACACAGCTCAGGACATGGCTCCGTGTGGCCAGGGCACAGCACGGGGCAGGGGGGCCCTTGTGGATGTTGCCCTGGGGGCAGCATGCGGGGTTGGTACCCTGGGGAGTGCATGGGGATTTACACAGTCCTGGGGACATGGTGGCCTGGGGACAGTTCAGTGGCTTAGAAGCCTCTGGGGACAGCAGAGCAGCGTGGCAGCCCTTGAGACATGGCAGCCCTTGAGACATGGCAGCCCTTGAGACATGCCACCCCTAGGACAGCACGGTCACTCAGCAGGCCCTGAGGACACGGTGGCCTGGGGAGAGTTTTGATGGCTCAGCGTTCCTTGGGACGTGATGCCACAGGGACAGTGTGGTGGCTTAGGAGCTCTTGGGCCGTAATGGCCTGGGGACAGTGCAGCAGCCTTGGTGACGTGACACCCTGGGGACAGCAGAGCACGGGCCCCAGCAGCCACTCACCATGAAGTCAATGTTGGTGTCCTCATTTCGGAAATACTCCATCAGCTTCTCGAAGCGGTTCTTCTCCCCGCAGACCTGGGGGGGGAGCAGAGGGCTGAAGGCCAGAGAGGACATGGCCAGGGGACATCCAGGGGGGTGGCAGGACAGGGTGACACCATCCCAACCCTGACCGGTGCTGCCAGGCACCCAGCCCAGCTGGGACATGGCCCTGGGGACATTTGGTGGCATGGGGACATCAAGCCCAGTGAGTGGAACATCCTGAGTGAGCCAGAGATTTGAGGATGGTGCAGGGTTCTGCCACACGCAGGGAAACTGAGGCACAAACCCAGCTGGAGCACAGATGTTCATGTGGGGACTGGATGTCCCTGCTGGGGACTCACCTCCTTGAAGTTGTCAAAGGCAGCCAGGATGATGTCGTGGCCACCTCGGACCAGGCAGACAGCGGCCAGCAGCTCCAGCACCAGAGCCTTGGTCCTGCAGAGACACGAGGTGTGTGGGGGTTGGGGCCGCGGGGTGGGTGAGGGGAGAGGGGGACAAGGGACAACAGGGGCCAGGGCAGCTCCTACCTGGCGTTCTTGTTGTTGAGGCTCAGGGTGATCTCGTTGACACAGGCTGGGTGGTTCATCACCAGGCTGAAGCCAGACTTGGGGGGGAAAAGGAACATTAATGGGCTCGTGTGTCCCCCCGGAGACACTCCAGGAGCGTGGGATACCGTCGTGCCACGTCCCCACCAGGCAGGAGGCTGAGTGAGGACACCTCAGAGCCGGGGGATGCAGACCCGGTCCCACCCCGGAGCTGCCACCGCAGGCGCGGGGGATCCCGGGGGAGCCCCGGGCGGGTCCCGCGGATGCCGCCCACTCCCACCTGGTAGTTCATGATGGCTCGGAGGCACATGATGCACACATGGACATCGTCCTTCTGGCTGACGAGCCGCGAGTTGCGCAGCGTCTTCCTGCTGTGCGAGGGGTTCAGCCTGGGCGGGGAGAGCGAGGCTGAGCGGGGCCCGGGGGAGCCGCGGGCGCAGCGGAAAGCGGGGAGGGGACAGCGCAAGGAGGTGCCAGCGGGGACGGGGGGACACCGGGGGACCCGGGCGGCTGCACCCCAAGGGAGAAACCCTCGTGCCCGTGCCCATCTAGAAGCCCTGGGACTGGGGGGTGACGTGGGGTGGGTTTTGGGGTCCCCTCGTGCACACGGGTGGTCTCGGAGGCTCACCGGGGCGGGCAGGAGCTGCCGGGTGACCTGGGGGCACTGTCCCCATCGCTGCCCGGGGCACCGCAGGGGACGCTGGGGTGGACGTGGCGGAGGAGGGTGTGGATGTGCTGGTTCGAGAGGCAGCAGCTGGAGGCGCGTTAGAGCCTGCAGGACAGGAGGGAGAAACGGGGCTCCCGCGCCGCCCGGGGGACACCCGCGCTCGGGGACAAGGGATGGGACCCCCTGCGGGTGCCACGTCCCTCCTGACCTGTCCCTGGGGCTGGGAGGGACACCCCGGCTCCTCCGGAGCTGCCGGCAGGCGGCGAGGGACTCCCGGCGTCCCCGGGGTGCCGCGTTACAGCTCCTGGGGTGACCGCGGTGGGGTGTCCCTGGGACCCCCCCGCCCACCGGGGATGCCCCGCAGGCCCTGTCCCCAATAGCGGTGACCGGCGGCGGGGTCCCGTGGGGTGTCCCCGTCCCGCCGGTGCCCCGTCACCTACCGTCAGCGCATCCCCGGCAGCGTGCAAGAGAAGAGCGGGGTTAGACGGGGCTGCGGGCGAGCGGCACCAAGCGAGAGCCACCAGCCACCAGGACCGGCTTGGGGGGACACAGGCCCGTCCCTCCGCCCCGGGTTTAAACCAGGGGGCTGCGATTTGCTCCCCCAAAATCTCCAACACCCCCAATTTTTGTGTGTTCTTGGTTTAACCAGAACACCCCAGGACGGTGGCTGTGCCGGGGTGGGGACACGGATCCAGCCCAGCCCCTGCTCTGTCCCTGGGGGCACACAGGAGGATGTGGCTTTGTCCCCACCCTCAAACCAGCAATGGACACCCATTTTTAGGACCGGGCCTGCGTCTCCCTGCCAAGCCCCTCTCCAAGCGCGGCGCGGCCGGGGATGCAGCGAGGCGAGAGCGGGGGACACAGCACAGGGACAGGGGGACACGTGGGGACGGGACCACACGTTACCTTACAGTGAGGGGCCGCGGTTTGGAGGAGCCCTGGGTGGGGGACGAGGAGGTGCTTTTGTTCAGGTCCTCCAGCGACCGCTCCTTGCCCTTGTCAGAGCCGGGACTGTTCTCTGTGCTCTCCATGTCATACCTGGTGGCCCGTGGGGACATGGGGACGGGTGAGACACGGCACCCCCACACGGGCAGATGTCCCTCAGGGATGTTTGGGATGTTCTGCTCAGCCCCAGCCATGGAGCACAGCCCTGAGGAAAAGGGAGCACCCCCAGGGACCTCCCCCAGCCCCAGGGGAGGCTGATCCCAGCCCTGGGGACAGGGCACCCGGTGGGGACGTACGCGACAGAGCACTGGGCAAAGGCGAGGTACTCCAGCAGCACATCCAGCCCCTTGTTCTCCTCGTTGAGGAACTCCTGGACCCAGCTGGAAGGTGCAGAGGGTTAGAGGGCTCTGCCAACCCCCACATCCTCTCTCCCCCTGCTCCAGCCACTCAGCAGAGCCACCCCTCGGTCAGAGGTCCCCAGAAAGGGTGGAACACTCTGGGAACATGAGGTGACACCACGAGCTGGCATTTCTCTGAGGCCAGGTGAGTGCCGTGGTGAGCCTGATACATGGAGGACTCAGCCCAAGGGCTCTCCGGTCACCACTGTCACCGCTGCCACTGCTGCCACCACTGTCACAACAGGACAGCCTGGCCCTGGGGACCGTGGGCACCCACAAGGGGCCAGGACAGCCAGGGTGGGGCAGGGTCCCTCCTGGCACCCAGGGGGTACCAGAGAGCCAAAATGGGGTTCAGACCCCATGGCACCCCCAGCTGCCTCAGCACCCTCAGCCTCCCATCAGAGCCCTCCTGGGGGGGCAGGATGAGGCCACATGCTCCAGCCAGAGCCAGCAGCACATCCATCCCCATCCCAGAGACAATGGCAGCGGCTGGGTGACAATGGCACCCCGCCCTTACCCGATGTAGTTGGTCCTCAGGGAAATCTCCAGCTCCCGGAGCACCTGCGTAGACTCCTGCACTCTCCTCTTGAACTGTGGGACGGGGACAGCCATTGGCACCGTCCCTGTGCCCAGCCTGGGATGGGGGCCAGGGGACCGTGCTGCAGTGGGGACCCCTCACCTTCCTGCTGACACCACCCGTGTCCAAGTAGCTCTTCAGCTTTTGGATGTAGGCAGACGGGGGGTTCTTCACCTGGAAACGCTCCTACGAGCCCAGAGAGAGGCTGAAACTGCTGTGGCGTGGGGACGTGCCACTGTCCCCACAGCAGCCACAGTGTCCCTGTCCCCACCCCAACTGCATCAATGCTTAATGAGGTTAATAAGGTGCTGTGTCAGTAACGAGATGGATGTCGGTGCTTGGTGCAGTCACATTGATGCCCAAACCATGCCACGAGTGGCACCTGGGGACAGGGACAGCACTGGGGACCCTGTGAGCTTGGACCTCACCTGGTCACAGATCAGCTCCCACTTCTTCTCGTTGTCGTACTGGTTAAGCAGCTTCATCTTGTCTGGGGGCAGGTTCATGGAATTCTGTGGGTGAAGGGTGTCAGAGCTGGGGGTCACCCCAAAAACACCCCTGGGATGTAGCACCCCCTGCTCCCCCGCACTGAGTGTCCTTGCTCAGCAGTGGGAGCACCAGTGGGACGTGGGGATACCCGTGGAAGGATGGGGATGTTGGTGGAAGGATGGGGACACCGGTGGGACATGAAGATTCCAGAGAGAAGATGGGGACACTAGTGCAAAACTGGGGACAGTGGTGGAACAGTGGGGACAGTGTTGGGAGGATGGGATCGTGGTGGAAAAGTGAGAACAGCATTCTCAGGTTGGGGACACTGGTGGGGTGATGGGGACACCACTGCTCCCAGGATGTGACCACCCCATGTCCCCACTCGAGGGTCCCTCAGGGGAGGGCAGGGGGTGCTGGTGGGGGACACGAGGAAGACCCAGACACATCCATCCATGAGTGCACCACGTGCCCAGTCCCAGCAGGGCCACACGGGGTGAGGGACAGAGACCCCGACTGGTGACACAGCTGAGGGACCCAGGAGCCCCCGAGTCTCCCCCACCACAGGTGTGTGATGAGACCGTGTGGGGAAATCAGTGTTTATTGAGAGGCAGTGATGTCAGGGCCTGGTGTGTCCCCACGTCCCTCCGTGCCACCGTTGCACAACCCCAGCCCCCACAGCCACCGCAGGACGTGACGCCGTTTCCGCTCCTGCCACGAGCGGGATGCAGCTCCTGCCTCTGGGCTGCTCTGCTGAGGGACACCATGGGGTGACCTTCATGGGACACCCACCATGGCCTGGGCCAGGCTGCAGCTCAGCTCGGCTCACAAGTGATTTCTTTTGCTAAAAGACACAATTTTTGGTGCTCCAGCTCATCTGGAGAGAACCTGCAGGCCAGCATGACGACACATGGAGCAATGCACAGCCCCAAGCCACCCCTAAATCCCAGTTCTGAGGTTCCCTGGTGAGGAGGATGGGGACGTGGGGTGCATGCCGTGCTGGAACAACCACATCCTTGGAGGAAGGCATCTCCCAGGGCTTTGGTTGCCCACAGAAGAGCAGGTCCAAGGGGAGAGGTGCCACTGTGGTGGGCAGAAACAGAAACCTCTCCACCACCTCTAGGGAGGACCTGTCAAGCTGCTTTCACAAGAGCTGTGGGTGGGAGGGACTGGCTTTGGCTGGGGCTGGCTGGCACGGAGAGCTGGGCAGGGGGTACAGAAATGGCCTCATTGTGAAGCCACTGGAGTTGCTGGGTGGTTCTGGGATGGACAAGGTGACAGCAGCACCTGGCTGTCCCCATTGCTGGTGGCCGAGCTGGCATCCTCAGCATGGATGAGGGTCAGGCCAAGGGACAGCGCTGTGCCAAGAGGGGCCACACACCCAGACACCCCAGCCAGGGCTCTGGCACACCCCTGGCACCCTCTGGCAGCCCTCAGGGCTCTGTGGGACACCCATGGGTGCCCTTGGCAGGGAGGGGATGGTGGCACCTGCCACGTGGACCAGCTCTAAGCAATCACATGTGGCACCTGGACAAAGCAGGACCCTGTGTTGGGACGGGACCCAGCAGGAGGGTGGGGCAGGGGCTGCCGGGCTGTCCCTGTGGAGGTGGCTCTGCCCCGAGCCCCGCGGTCCCTCCCTTGCGGGCAGGATGTGGCACAGGTCGGGTACAAACTGGGTGGTGGCTGTGCCCCGGGTGGGCTTGTGGTGCCGGGGAGGAAGCGGCTCCGCTGAGGAGCCTCAGCCGGCAGCGCAAAGAAACCGGTTCTCATTTCCTGCCTGGGAGGGGGGACCGGCGGTGGGGGAGGTGGGGCAGGGTGGGAGGTGTGGGGCAGGGTGGGTGATGTGGGGCAGGGCAGCAGCCAAACACCCCAGAGGTATCAGAGGAAGAACTTGGTCCTCCTCCTCCTCTTCTTCCTCCTTTGGGGACAAGGATGGAGGAGCCACAGTGACTTGTCCCCCCTGCCATCATCCAGCACCCAGCACTCTCATCCCACCCCTGCCCGAGGCTTCCTCACGGCCCCACATCACTGAGGGGATGCCTCCAAACGCTCCCCAACAGCTCTGCTGTGCCACAAAGTGCCACAGAGCCATGGCCAGCAGCAGGGTGAGGCTGGCAGGGACCCAGCACAGCTGTGGGGTGAGCCAGGTTTTGCCCTGCACCGAAACCAAGGCCAGGGGAGGTGAAGCAGCACCAACATCATCTTCCAGTACGAAACAACTTTTCCTATCATGGCTGGCAGGGACAGAGCTATTTTGGGTGTCAGATCCCTCTTTTTGTTCCACACATGAGCGGGCAGCGCCCAGCAGAGCCGGGCTGAGCTGAGCTCTGCACCAAACCTGGCACAGAATGTTCCGGCATCCTCCGGGGAAGTGTTTGTGCTGCAAACCCCGCCAGGCTCAGTGTGAACCGGGCTGAACCTTGGCAGAGCCGTTTCTGGGGCACGGGGGATGTGCATCCACAGAGAGGGGATGGAAAGCCTTGGCAGCACGAGGGATGGGACATGACAGGCACAAAACCCTGCCACAGGGAAGGGGACAGGGCAGGGAACTGCCCCAGATGGCAGCTCAGGGGTTCTCTCCAGCTGCAGGAAGGACCAACATCTCCAGATGCCGGGTGACTGAGGGGCTGTGCCACTCCTGGGATGCTCCATCCCTCATGGCCAGAGCACCCCTGAGGTGGTTTGGGACATGGCTGGTCCTGCTGTGCCAGCTGTCCCATGGTGTCCCCTCCAGCGCCCCTGGCTGCCACTTTCTTTGGAAAGGACTTGCTTTCCTGCCTCTTCCCAGGGCTCAGTGCAAGGCACAGAGCAGGACCAGGCCCACCCAGGGCTCCCTGACCTCCCTCATGCAGCAAACTGGGCTGGGGGACACTGCCAGGACCAGTTCATCCCATCAGGGACTCCCTGGATGCAGCCAGACCCAAACCCACCAAGTGTTGGGCAGAGATGGCCACTGGAGGAGCAGATGTGTCCCCAGGACGGCTGGGGGTGGTGGGAGTGGGCTGGGCTGGGCCACCTGCAGCTCCAGCTCTGTTTTAAGAACAAGCAGAGGCTGCTGTAGCTCAAACCAGGCAGAGGAGCCTGATCCCACCAGCGTGCCCTCATCCCTGCTGGGTGCCTGCCTGCCCACCCCACACTGGGATGTCCTCCTGGATCCAGCAGCACAGGGGGCTCCTGCACCAGGACACTCTCCAGGCCTTGATCCAGCAGCTCATGGCTCACAGGCAACTTCCCACCCAGGACAAACCTTCCCTATGGGGACACCCTCCTGCAGCCCCACATCCCCCAGCCAGCCTTGGCCGCTGGAGCCGGGCTGGAGATGGATCCAGCAGGAAGCTGAGGATCAGTTTTGTTTCCTGGTTGAGCCGAGGCCGATGCTGTGGCCAGGGCTCGCTGGTGACCTATCCTGCTGCTGGGGCCAACAGCACATCTGAAAACATCTGCAAACATCTGCAATGGTGACGTTGGCCTTGCACTCCCCCAGGTCCTGGGAGGCTGCAAAGCCCTCACCAGACAAAGCTCCCAGCTGGAGCAGCCCCCGTCCCACTCAGCCACTGTTTGATTTTGACTCCAGCACACCTCAGCTCACAAGTCCATTCATATATTCCCAGTCAGTGTCTCCTGACATGCAAAGGGGGTAAAACCCTGATTGCTCCAAGCAGGAGTATCTGAGCATCCCTATCCCAGCAGCAAAGATGCTTTTCCTCTGCTCCATCCCAAAAAATCCACCTCATCATATCCCAAACCACTTGGCACAGGACAACCCTCCCATTGCTCTGCCAAAGCGGCATCTGCCACAGTGCCCCAGCTGGGAAGAAGCCAATTTTTGAGAAGAAAGTTTTGGGAAACTAAATTCCCATTTCTTGGCACAGAATGGGTGCATCCATCCCCTTCCTGGCAGCAATTTGGATCCCCCAGGCTCCTCCCTAACAAGGCTTTGCACCACCAGCTCTCCCAGTTCGGGATGTCCAGCCCAAAACTGATTTGCACTGAGCTCTCACGGCATCACTGTAACCATGGCAACGTGTGAGGTCTGGATCGTGTCCCACCAGGAGATTCCCAGCTCATCACCACCTGAGCTCAGGAAGCAGAAAAGTTGAATCCATAGTCAGGGAACGTGTTTGTGGTGGGTGAGGGCAGAGGGACCCCTGTCCCCATCCCCCCGGGGTTCCGCTGCCCCCACAGCCACGAGAATGGGGAAGGGACTGCGAAAGGAGGAAGCGGGATTGGGACAGCCGCTTTCACAAGACACGCGCTTCCCGTTGGGGCACATCCAGCCCCCCGAGTGCCCTTTCTCCTGGAAAAGGGCTTTCCCTCGGGATGGAGACAGAGAAGGTGGTGCTGAGGGACTGCAGCAGCGCTTTCCCCTTTTCTGACCATTTTTTGGTTTAGGATTTCCCACGTGCTGGAGCCCGCCCGGCTGAAAGTGCTCCTTCCTTGGGCCTTGCAGCGGAAACACCCAGAGGTCTCTTCCTGCCACCGCTGCTGTGACAGTCGGAGCCATCACAGGCACCAACACCCCACGCAGCCACCTGCGAGCACGGGAGTCCCACGGCAAATCCCCTCCCCGGGAGCGCCACGGGGGTCCCGCCGGGCACAGCCCCTCGCTATCCTCCCCCTGCGGCTGCGGTGGGATGCTCATCCCCAAATAATCCCATCAACTCCACCAGAGAGAAAAGCTCCCAAGTCATTTGCGCTCGGGGCTGGGATGGGGGACCCCGCCGAGCAGATCCCGGCAGATCCCGGTGTGCCGGCACAGCATCGTGGGAGCTGCGCCCGCGGCTGCTCCCGGCACGGGATCGGCAAAACGGCTCCATCTCCTGCCAGGGGCTCGGGGGATTAAAGCAGCAATTATTTTTTCTCGGAGCGTTTCTGGGGAGGGCACGGATCGGGGCCGGGGCGCTGGCGGGACCCGGCGCTCTGGCTCGAAGGTCACGGCCGGCCCAGCCCGCTCAAGGACGGAGGGAGCAAGAGCCGCTCCCCCGCTGTTCCCAGCGCCTCCGGGAGCTGCCGTCCATCCGTCCATCCATCCTTCCATCCATCCATCCATCCGTCCATCCATACATCCATCCATCCCACGGGAACGCCGCTCCGGCATCGCCCGCTGCCCACCGGCGGGAGGCCGGGAGCGGTGCCGGGGCTTCCCCGGCTCCGGGGAGGAGGAGGAGGAGGAGGAGGAAGGGAAGGTGAGCGAAGCATCTCCATCCGCAGCAGCGGCTGCCTGCAGCACCCTCCGGCCCTGCCGCCGATCCCGCCATGGCGGAGCCTGCCCGGGCTCCGAGACTCGGGGTCACCGCAGGAATTTGGGGTCTGGATCCCCCCAGGGTAAGAGCGATGAGGGGACGGGAGCGGCTGGGGGTCAAACCGGGGCAGGGCTGAGTCCCCGGGGAAACGAGGTGAGAGCGGGGCAGTCATCATCATTAATAAGAATATCAATTAAATAATAAATCAAATAATTACTAGAACGATGAAATAGTGACAATACCATCATTATAACGATGATAATGATGGTAACGCCGCTAATGATGCTGATGCCGGCAGGGATGCTGAGAGACCCCCCCGGCTGGTCCGGGACCCCCCTGTCCCCCCCGTTATGTTCGGCCCCGTCCCCTCCGGTCCCCCCTGTCCCGCCCGTCCCCGCTCACCAGGACGCGGCCGAAGCGCTCCTCCAGCTCGGCGGCCGCGGGCATGGGCTGCCGGGGGGGCGGCGGGGCGGCGGTGCCGGGGGGGGGCCCGGGCTGCGGGCGGTGGTCGCGGGGTTCCCGCGGGGCCGCGCCCCCCTCCAGCCCCCCGGCCGCGTTGCCCATGGCGGGCGCTGCGGGGCTCCGAGCCCGGCTTCGTCCTCGCCCGTCCCCGCCGCCGCTCGCCGGCGTTTGCAACTTCTGCGGGCGTTATCGCGCTATAAACGCTCTGCCCGCCCCCCCCGGCCCCCGCCCCGGCCGCAGCCACAGCCGGCCCCGGCACCTGCTCGGCTGCAGGGAGGGAGCGGAGCGGAGCTGCTCCGGCGGGGCTCAATGCAGACATTTTATTTTATTTTATTTTATTTTATTTTATTTTATTTTATTTTATTTTATTTTATTTTATTTTATTTTACTTTATTTATGTCATTTGATTTAATTTTACTTTATTTATTTTATTTTACTTTATTTTATTATGTAATTTTATTTTACTTTATTTATTTTATTTTATTTATCATTTTATGTCATTTTATTTTTATGTCATTTTATTTCACTTATTTAATTTATTTTTTATTTCAGACTTACTTCTAATATCATATTTATTATACATTCTTAGTTTATTTTATTTTGCAATTTTATTCATTTTTTAAAATATTGTTCTGAGGTTTTCTATTTTGTTATTTTATTTTATTTTTATTCCTGTTTTGCCTTTATTTTATCCTGCCTTATTTATTTCATTATTTTATTCTTATTTTCAAATTTGCTTTCATTATATTTATTTAATAAATTTTTGCTTTAATTTTTATGTTCTATGTATATATTATTTAATTACATTTCATTTAACTATTTTATTTCAGTCTTATTCATCCTATTATTTTATTTTATTTAAAAATTACCAATTATTTATTTATTTAGGCTTTTTGTTTGACTTCCCTTTTATCTTACAGTAATTTATTACTCTTTTATATAATTTATTTTTATTTCATTTTATATTTTTATTATATTTAATTTATTTCTTATTTTATTTACTCTCTGGTTTCTTACCACTTAGAATTTTATTTTCCTTAATTTTTTTACCTTATTCATTCTATTTATTAATTTCTTCATTTACTTATAAATGTCATTCCATTCCATCACTCATTTTTTTGCAGGCAGTGGGAGAAGGGAGAGCACTCGGGGGGTGCTGGGCTCCCTCTCCCACCAAGGGAGCTCATCCCACCCCAGGCAGGGTCTGGGGGCTCCCTGGGTGGGGCCAAATCCCAAACCCTGTGATTCTCCTGCCGTGCCCCAGGCCGGGGCTCACAGGGACAGGGGACAGAGCTGGGCTGGCACCCACAGAGTCCCCAGGTGTCCCAGAGGGGCCTCAGAGCCCACGGCCCCGGCAGAGCCCCCTGGGCACCGGGATCGGGAGGTGGCACTGGGACTGGGAGGTGGCACTGGGATCAGGAGGTGGCACAGGGATCGGGAGGTGGCACTGGGATCAGGGGGTGGCACAGGGATCAGGGGGTGGCACAGGGATCAGGAGGTGGCCCAGGGATCGGGAGGTG